CTAGTAGTAACAAGAAGCTACTAGAAACAAGTGCCTTACTAGTAGTATTGGAGAATTCGATGCACGGTTCCGGCCTGACAGGTGGTGAATCGATGCACGCAACAGGCTTCCGCTGTGGAGGCTGGATCCACTCTCTACAGCATGATGATGATGAAGATGATGATGAAGATGATGAAGGGCGCATGATTCATGGCATCTAAGTACAAGCCAACTGTTTGTCTCTCTCTCTCTCTGTATTATCTTCTTTTTACTTTGTAGACATTGAAGAGCGCTCCACAGGGGTCCCCTAATAGACATGTCATTGTTTTCTTTGTTTGTATATGTTCTTTGCCTTTAGACCTCTTGTTTGTGTTTTATTATTGAATCCTGTCCTTCTGTGTCTCTTCTTTTCTCGCACCAAGGTTGTTGAAGAAAATGTATGAAAACAGAAGGTGTTCAATTCTTGCTGTTTTGCTGGCGAGGCTGCAGAGGATTTGATCATCAGATCGAAACAAGAGGTCAGTGCCCTAAGAATTCTCACGGCTTCCGATCTCCACACAGTAGATTGCTTGGTTGATGTCGAGCAAATTCGGCTTGCAGAATACATGCGGTGCTCGACCTTCAAACAATCACCCATGAACAGTCCCATGAGCTTCTCAGTGATCCATGACTTCGACACCGTTCCAATCGCATCCAGCGGACCGAGGTGGAAAGTGGCCGCGTGCAATTATTGAACTTCACTAAGCAGGCGAGAGAAGGTCAACCTGGCGAGCAAAACAGGAATCGAGTTTTTGCTACACAAGCTGTTCAAGGAGGTGTGGCGTCAAAAGCAGCTGGTACATTGTTACAACAGTCGCACTATGTTCAATATTCCACATGGCATCACCCTGCTTTCTTTCACAAGAGACATCAGTCAACACTTTGGCAGGCCGGACGCTTCGTTTTCTTGGTTTTCGCTCCAGGATGGAGTGGAATTGCGAAAGGTCATGAACCAACAGCTCGCCAACGAAGAGCCGGGGACCTGTACCGGCCTCCAACCTAAGAGCAATGGCCTCCAACCAACCTTCTCCAACCCAAAAACGATGGCCGGCAACCTAGAAGCGATGCTCTCCAACCTAGAAGCGACGGCCTTCAACCTAGAAGCGATGGCCTCCAACCTAATAGCGATGGCCTCCAACCTACTGGTGTTTTTTGGGAACTTGTAAAGTTGTGGTTGGAAAATAGAAAGGGATGTGGCTTTTCAAAAGGCCTCACATGTAGTCCATGTGGTAAGGCTGCGCAAGCATTTCTGGAGAGATCAGGCCCAAAAGGCATCTGTGCAATGCCATTCTGTTAGGCTTGGGTTTGTCAGATAGATTGTACGAGGTGGGGAAGCCCTTTGTTTTAGAGCCTCCTGCTGTGCAAAGTCGTTCTCGACAGCTCGACTGACGAAATTTATACAATTCATATAGTATATAGAGAGAGAGAGGTGTGCATGTGGATTCCACCGAGGCATACACCAACCTTGGCGTTGATGGAGCTTTGCTGCATGATGATGCGTGTGTCATCCACACCCACACGCCTGGAGTCCGAGGGGATCATCTTCAAGACTTCTTGTGCAGTTTCAAACCGCTTTTTTGTGGAAGGCTCAAGCATTCTTGTCTTTAGCAAAGTATTTCGGGGGGAGTGACATCAAAACCCAAAGCTAGCATTGTACTACGCCTTGCACGATAGGGTAGACTTTTTGAAAATTGAAGCATATTGAAACAGCGCAAGGAGTCGACTCCAAATAACTACATGGGAACATATATACTACCCAAAGGCTCATCGGACCCTCGAATACAGGTCCGGGACCCTCCTTTCGAGGGGCTGAGGCGTATCTAACATCTTGGACCTCTCGGCCCTCACGTCATCTAAGCGCCATGTAGCAACCGACTTGCCAAGGATGCTTCTGTCTGCTTCTGGTCAGGCATGGACGCTACAATGATGAGCTCACTGCGAGCGTGTTTGTAGAAATTCGGATGAACTCGTTGAAGTTGATGAGACTAGTGATCACGCACACTCAGTTTGTCCTCAAACACGACCCGTCAATCCAATATGAAACAGAGTCTACCTTTTGCTGAAATGAGCTCATCCGGCTGCGCATGATGAACGCATTGGAACATGCCCAAGAGATACACCGAAGGCCAGAGGCAGAAGAGGTGGTTGGGATCTGTATGAACTTGTAAGTTCCAAAAAATTTGGTCACTTGGGCTTGTTGGCAACAGGTAAAAGCTGGCCATAGTCAACTAGCTTGGAGCGTCTTGGAACAATGGCGCTACTTGGGAGAGAAAATTTTGTGAAGTGCATCTTGGACTAGGAGCCCTTGCAATTACTGCGCGAGAAGGACTGGGCTTTTTTGTGTCGATAGAATTCACGCCCCATGTCTTCGGCATACCGGCATTACACCTGATCTCTGATGACTGCAACCGGTGTGCATCAGAGAAGCCACCTATGAACATCCTTTTTGATGTCACTAACTCTTCTGTGGTCAGCTTTGAAGATAGCTGCTGGACAGCACACTTGAACACAGAGTAAAGGGAAGCGTGGCTTTGAAATATGTACGTAAGCCCTTGGACTCGAAAAGTCTTGGAATCGAAGCCGCAAACATACTGAGCATCAAGGTTCATCCACGCATCTTCTTGACATCCTGCAATGCTCTCCCCTGCGAGAGACATTCATCAAAGCACGGCGTCTGCTGGCTTGCATCTCCGGCAATCCCAGGCCCAAGGTACTGAACACTGACCCTGCGAAGGGCGCTAGCGCTGCGATAGAAGAACCGGACTCTCAGCCCGTTGGGCTTAGTGAAATTACGACCAAATTTGGAGAACTTTGGCCTACAGGAAGATGATGTGGAAATCACAGAAGTGATGGCTCCGGTTGGTATGTTTGCTTTGCTTGCGCGTGACATGGATGCATCAGAAGGGGCCCTCTACCCCCTTGTCTATAAAAGCTCGCGCTGGCAAGGCTGTCACGTTCTGGTTGACTGACGTGTCTGGTGGCCCGCCAACAAACCAGAGCACCGATCTGGACAAACAGGATCCAGTTTGTCGCTATTCTTATGCCAAAGCGTTGCGGACCATGGAGCAGAACAGCGTCCTCCTCAAGTTGGTGTTTTTATGATAGCGCTCTTCTTCAGCTGGGGATTTGTTCAGCACTCGATTCACACTCGGGGGAGGAGTTGGCACGAACATCAACAGGTAAAGTTGCAGTTGATTCCGAAGCATGACCATTTCCTCCATTGCGCAGAAGACGCTCGACAAGTGGTCTAAATCCAATTCTGGCTGAATTCCAGACAGGAATGCTTGGCAGAATTTCCAGACATTTCCAGACGCTGTCACCGCACGTCAGCTTCCAGGCGTGTGCTATCGAAAGGTACTTGCGCTGCTTCCACTTTGCGCTGATTAGACATGATTGCGGGGTGTGGTCGATTTGCGTGAAGCAAAAAGGGTATGCTGCGCATGGGCACATGGGGTGAAACATGAAACAAAACGAAACAAAACATGACAACAGCTCCGTCGGATAGGGGGTGAGGGGCCACAAGGGCCCATCAGGGGCCGACGTCCTGAAACACATTTTTCTGAGCGCACTAGTTTTGATGATGGCGCCATGTAGTCACAAAAGGATTCGAACGAGAAGTCTTTAAAGAAGAAAAACTCGTGAGTTCAGTGGGTGGCCGTGTGACGTGCAAGGTGACGAGATTCGGAACACATTGTCGGAACCGGACTTCGCCACGAAGTTGGAACCGTTTTGCGCCGTGGATGATGCCGAAAGTTTCCCCGAGGCAGGACACCGGTGAAAAAAGAAGACCAGTGCGAAAGTCAACGCAAAGGGACTCCAATGGTATGCTGGCAAAAAAGATGCCTTAAGAATTCCGTTTCTGTTTTGTTTCGAAGATGCGCAATTCCACTGAGACTGCGCCTCGTAACATGGGAAACCCTGAGGGGTACATCAGACCCTGATCGCATATCCATTAAGGTTCTTCATAGAAGGATGTCGGTGTTCTCGTGAAACTATAAGGTCTGAAGGAAATGGCAATGGCAGGATCTGAGACATTGAAAGGTTGGGGATGATGATGGACTCCTTCGTTGGCAGTTTGGGGATCTCCAGGCGTTTGTTGAGCCGATGAAAGAAGCAGTTGCAGCCGCAGAAGGAATGGATGCCATGGATGTCAAGGTTCGCGTGTTTCATTTGCTCAGATTTTTCTCTTCGCACTGTTAATGAGATGGTCATTTTGAGGTATCTAGTATCTACTTCCTGAATTCGTTCATCTCAGCGGGGGGGTTCGGACATTGAGTTCGACTCTCAACCCGAATATCTCATTGTCAGGCCCTCACAGTGCTGGCCAGCGTGGCATTGGCTGCCTACCGATACGTCGGAGCACCTGCTGGGTGAGGATAAGTTGGGTGTCCTCATGTCGGTGGATCCATAGTCGCCCTTTGCTAGTAGTTTTTTGTTCCTAGTAGTAAGGCCAGGAGCCCCTAGTAGCGTCCTTGCTCCTAGTAGCGATGCCCTTTGTTCCTAGTAGCGTCCTTGTTCATATGTCGTTTAGTTTTCAATGTAGTCGGGTTCCTTTGATCAGGTCGCAACATGAATGTACACCATACTGGTCATAGGGAAGGGAGGGCGGTGACTACCTTTACCACAACCCAGCATTCCTTCTGTGGTTCATTTCCTTCTTTACTACAACCCTTTCCTTTGTTCTTTTGTAACACTTAGGACCTGTTTTGCCTACGGTTTCTTCGCTGATTTTGTGACCTCTGCAGACGACGACCGTGTTGAAGCTCCCGGACCTGAAAGCGGAGCTCATCGATTTAGAAGAACAGCGTGAACGTCGGCAGCCAGAGATCGAGGACGGGGACAGAACAAGCTATTTAAGAATTTCAAGCCAGAAAACGTATGTGCATTTCGAGTAATAAGGGGCACTCATTCCAAGACCAAAAGTTAAGTACGAAAATGCATAGATGAAAATGGGTGTGGCAGAGTGATTCGTTTCCTCCAGAAGCATGTATAGTCACGGGTGGTTGTGGGGTAATTAGTTGAGTTAATGGATCAAGGTGAACCCTGTAGTGTTGATAATTAAAACGGCAAGAAATGGTAGAATGGTAGCTTTGCTACTGTTTTGAAATCAAGCAACACAATCGTTTGGATCGCAAAATCCGAATCGCCCCTGGCGCGCAAACGTTGCTTTGTAGGCCTTGCAAGAGCAGACTCAGATCCTTTCAGGCGAGGCAAAGCTGCTGGAGGCTCGGGGACGGCTCTTTGCTTTTGCCCGCTCCACCGCTCCACTTAATTCAGTAGGCACCTACTTAATGAAGTAAGGGCCACTAGTTCACTACTAGCTACTTAAGCTACTATCTACTGAATGCAGGATAGTTCGTGCTTGCACTCATGATTTGGTTCCTAGATGTTTAGGGAAACTAAATTGGATGGGTACGAAGCAGGCCCCACCAGCCATGACCTCCCTGACCTAGCAAGTTGACCCCTAAGCTTTAGCGGGGAACAGGAGGCCACCCGTTACCCCGCGACCCCGACGCGTTAGCAGAACTCATCCCTTAGGGGAGGAAAACGTAGGAAAAACGCAAGTGAGTAACTGCAAGTGAGCGTGGGGCAGGGCGGAGGACGGGCGGACGGGATGCAGACCTCACAAAGATGTTGGCAAAGGGAGAGGCCCAGCCAAGGGACAATCACATAGCCTCTTGGTGACTGCTTAAAAGTTTTTGCTTTTCAGCTTTGAGGGAGCCTTAGTGGCTGTAATCATTCCATCAACCCCTGCATTGCTCGGCGCTTGGCTTGTAGTTTACAAAGCCATGACGAGCACCGAGAAGGACAAATCTCCGTGGCAAAGCTTCTTGGAACACTACTCACTGCTACGCGTGCTACGTGTCACACGTTTCTGAAAAGAATATCAACAAGCAGAAATCATACAAACTGATCAGTTCCGAACAGTTGTGTCATTTGTCTAAACTTACAACTCACCTCCTAGCATCAGTTGAACCATTTCACCTAAAAAACTCCAGAATCTAGAGACCATGTGTTCATGCATTGGATGCTTGGGCTATCCTGGATTGCTTCGGCCATGGACCTTCTCCGTCTAAGATGGAAGAGGCAATCACCAAGTTGAGCGGCCACGGTTCTGACTTGTGTTCAAGGACGCTACTAGGGGCTCCTGGCATTCCTACTAGGAACAAGAAGCTGCTAGGAACAAGAAGCTTCTGACTTGTGTTCAAGAAGTTGCGCTTTTTTGTCAGACAGTAAATAGTACCAGAGCATTGACCTGGGTAACTACAAACAGAGGCATGCGGCATACTCCGTTTGGTACAATACTTCTAGGAGAGGTCTTGTGTTAATTTGTCCATGTCATGTTGAGGTGATCCTTCTGACCAAGCCTTTTTGGTGGAAAGAATTGTTTTTGTACATGTACCAATTTGAAGAGCTTGGAGGTTCCTCGCCAGATGTACGAGCCATGGTTTCTGCCAGGCCGGCGACGAAAGCAAGCCCGAGGACAGCAAACCAGAGGACAAGCCCGAGGACAAGCCGGACGACAAGCCGGAGGACAAGGAAGAAGTTCGGGTGAACAAGACCTTCAGCAGAAGTGGCGTCCGGCATGTTGAGTGAAACGTCGCATGGGTTGGACCTCCAGTGCAGGGATCGTGTCAAATTCCATTCACTTCGCGGGATGTCTTTCAAATCCATCGCTAGTAGGTTGGAGGCCATTGTTTTTTTGGTGTGTTTACTGTGCCACAACGCGACACTATAGATGGCCTGTACTACATCACCAGTGGAACGTGAAGAAAAACAGTCCACCCTTCCCACATTCAACATGTTCAAGTAGTTATTTGTTTTTTGTTACTACTGCAGTATGTATTCAATGTATTCTTTCTAGTAGCTCTTGTGTGTTCGATTTTAGCTCTTCAACCTCAGCCACGCACCTCGAGAGGCCAAGATGTCTCACGGAGAGACCGAGATGTCATGGAGATGTCATTGTTGGTCACGATGTGTTCACACAAATCAGAAACAAGTTGGGATGTCTCATCAAATCAGTGGTGAGTGTGTGCGTTGGCAAGGAAAAAAAATTGGACCCGGTGTTTGAATATGCAGGTGATTTTTGGAGCGGGCTGGCCTATGTTTGCCCAATTGAGCCGCTCACACCTTGCCGTCGAGTAGATGGGTATGAAAATGTCATCCTGAACCAATCTGGCCTCCTTTGATAATATGTCCCCTGATTTTACTCTTGTTTTCACTGATAGTGTTTTGCAAACAATTGCATTCTGGCAAGAACTAGTTAGCTGGGTAGTTACTGGGAAGTTAAACATATCCTCAGCAGTAAAGGGTAGTTGAGAATCATTTCATGTTTAAACTAGATCTTTGTTCGAAAAAATCATAGCAACATCCACATATTCTCCACTTGGTTGGAATTGATCGCCATTTGGCCACAGCCATGGGTTGCTTCCATGGCTGTCTCTCCTTCCTTCGCCTGGTCCGCCCGCTGCCGGACTCGACCTCCTCGGACCGGCGATTGCTGCTGGTGCGGCATGGCGACACCCGGCAGAACTGAAGCGGACAGGCTTTTAATTGCATGGGGTCCAACCTACTAGCGTCCTTGCTCCTAGTAGCGATGCCAGGAGCCCTTAGATGCGCCTAGCAGCATCCTTGCTCCTAATAGCAAAGGCCTCCAACCTATGGGGTAAGGTTTCATGTTAGTGGCAAGAAGCTTCTTTGAATCCTTAAGGAATTTCAGACGAAGACCTCTTGGTTGAAAAGTCTTTTTGGTGGCTCAGTTGTAGAAAGGAGCAGTTGCAGCAAAAACCCAAAGTCGTTGTTTGGCAGCAAGGATTAGTCCATTAGTTGGTCTATTGGTCGCTGTCAGGAGAGTGAGTACAATGTACACTATGCAAAGCATCATCAAGATCCAGGCCGGGTGCCCCGGGAGAGTGAGCCAGCCGGAAACACGAAAAGAGCAAACCTGGGAGCAAAGGACGCTACTAGGAACAAGAAGCTACTAGGGGCTCCTGGCCTCGCTACTAGGAGCAAGGGCGCTACTATCGGCTCCTGGCCTTACTACTAGGAGCAAGGACGCTACTAGGGGCTCTTGGCATCGCTACTAGTATGTCTTTGCGGAGAAATGAAGGGCACGTGAGAGAGCCAGGAGACTTCTGGGATGCGCCGCTGACGTCAACGGGTGAAGAGCAAGCTGCGAGCTTGAAGCAAAAGCTCTTGCCCGAAAAGGTGGACTTGGTGGTGAGTTCCTGGACCAAATTGAGCAAACGAAGAAAGCTTCAGCGGCTTAAGTATCCACATGTAAAAATTAGACAAAGACTTTGTCAATGCGCTCTGGGCATCAAGAAGCTGCCAGAGTGAGGCTCGCCCTTGACGCGTGCCATTGAGACAGCCTTAAGAGCATCACCCACAGGCCTGATCAGAGATGTGCCGTCAACATCCGACCAAGGGATTCTTACAGCCATTTGACACAGTTCGTGTGACAAAGCCGTTGGAACTGGCAATGAATAGAGGCTCCTTAGGTAAGTGATATCCGAGCCATTCATTTTGACAGGTTCTTTTGCTTTGGTCGCTGTCAAAAAAAGTCCTCCATCAGACTCACTACAATTTGACAACCTCCCAATTTCCATTGCCGCCCGTTCCTTGTATCGAGGCCCTCATTTGGCAACACCCTTGGCCAGTGAGCACATGGAAGCCTCCTGTGATATTGGCAGGCTGGGCTTTGAAGGCGTTTTCGCAAAGCAACCTTTGCACCAACATCTTCTATGCAAAAACAGTTCAGTGGCCTTTAATAGCCCATAATTAGTGATCCTAAGCCTTGAACATGCACAAGAAAGTTCCAAAGATTGCCCGTGAGCTTCGATGCGTTCTCGATCTCGGGCATCCGCGCCGAATCCTCCTCCTCACTTGGAGGCCCACCTCCGAGCTGCGTGCAGTCTACCCCAAGGTGGACTTTCAGGATCTATCGGAGGCGCGGAAGGATGTGGTCGGATTTCCAGGCGCCACCATGTAATTACCAAATGCAGTGACAATGTGTTACTTTCAAGAAAAGTGAGAAGAAAAACAGGATTGCCTGTTCAATCTTCATTTCTCCTGCTGTGTCCTTTATTACAAAGGTTTCTAAGTTTCTAACTTCATCCTTTAAATACTCTCATTTGCATCAAATGGCCGGGAGCCGGTCACACCGAGGTCTGGTGGTACGTGCCACAGGAGTGTCGTCAGGGCATCACTGTGGAGGAGTCACGACGGCTCTTCACGCAAGAAGGCGGGTAAATTGAAACAGAGTGTGTGAATCTGTGAATGGAGGCCATCGCTCTTAGGCTGGAGGCCATCCCCAGAGTCTTCAAATTTATAAAGCAAAACATCTGTGCGAGGTTGGTCCAAGTCTTTGAGGTTGGATTGAAACTCCACAGGCCGTCGAGAGTCCCGGAAAGACTTTGAGCGGCGAGTGGATGACTTTGTGTCCTGGCTCAGCCAGCGGCCAGAGAAGGCGAGAAATCCCGAATCCCCTGTGGATCGATAAGAAACAAGAAGCTACTAGGGGCTCCTGGCATCGCTACTAGGAGCAAGGACGCTACTAGGGGCTCCTGGCCTTACTACTAGGAGCAAGAAGCTACTAGGGGCTCTTGGCATCGCTACTAGTTACTAGTATGTCTTTGAAGAGAGGCCCTTGTAAAAAGACAAAGAAGCTATCAGAAGAACAACCGTACGCAATGGGGGCTGCAGGTCATCGCAATCTTTGCCCACGCGGACTTCTTCAACTGTTTTCTGCACAGATACTTTGGCGAAACAGAGGCTGTGGCTAAGCAGCTGGTATGTTATGGCAGGAAGCTCTTTTCTTTGGTTGAACAAAGTATGAGCGAATAGGGCCCATAGCTGCCGAGTTTTTGATTACCTAGGCCTAGGGCGGAGAAAACGCCGGCCTTTGACGGAAGAATCCTTGAATCACTTGTTTCAAATTAAGCAGATATTGTCATGGAAAGTCATGAATCGCTTAAGCTGAGCCCTGCGTTTTGAAGGCCAAATACCAGGATTACTGGATGAAGAACTGCGAGCTGTTTCTCAGCTTGGTGTTGGCACCGTTTTCACTGGTGTTTGCCTGATCGCCTTCACCTTTTCGAAAAAAACAAAGCAGATGCTCTTGGGCTCAGCCAAGGGCCTTTTTGTCTTCATATGTCTCCAGTGGACAGTGGCAGCTTTTCTTAGAAGAAAAATCCTCCGGTTTGTTCGGGGTTTATAAATCAAAGTCATGTTGCGTGTGTTTAATTACGGTTTCACTCAGATCTCAGCTGAAAAGACAGTACATTTAAAAATGGGTGCCCTAACAGAGACATTTCTGGACGCGGGAGGACCATGGCATCTTCATCCGTCCAAGAGCGTTCTTGTTAAAGAAGTTATGGTTTGTCTAAGAGTATAGGACATTCAGCATGCCTGGACTTGACGCTTCTTGCCAGAAATGGACGTTTCCACCACCCCTGCTGTTCTGGAACCAGAAAGCTCGTTCTCAGAAGTTGTCCAAAAGGCATCAATACTTTGGAGAAAGAAGTCCATATCATCAGGCCTTTATTAGAAATAAATCAGTTAATAGCTTCTTGTTACTACTAGTAAGGCACTTGTTACTAGTAGCGATGCACTTGTTCCTAGTAGCTTTTTGGATGTTTTACCGGGAGTGGTCTTTGCGTTTATTCTTTGTCCAAAGACCTTGAGATTGTTCTTTCCTTTCAAAGAATAAGACTTCTCAGGCTACAGTTGCCGCTCCAGAAGCCCTTGATGCCCATCCTCCATCCCTCCTTACCGGACGCCGCGATCGCGGCGCCTCGGGAGGCGGATGTGGAAGCCTCAGACCAAATTGTAAAGAATTTGTCTATAGCCCGTCCTTAATTAAATAGATTACGAGATGCCTATTTAGTTCAGTACGGAGCAGTAAGGAGGTAAGCTATACTAGCAATAGGTAGCTACTACCTACTGGACACAGGATAGCTTGCGTGGCTCCTAGATGTTTGGGGAACCTTAAGGATAGTGGTGGTAGTTGACACAGTTGAGGGCACCGGAAAGACGAAAAGCCTTTCGAAAGAAAACGACCTTGTTTGCGGCACAAAGTTCAAAACCAAAGGCCTTTGAAGGTCTTTACTCTTTACTCTTTACTTTTCTTCCTTTTCTTTTTACTTCCTTGAATCCTTTTTCTTTTCTAGTAGGTTGGAGGCCATCGCTAGTAGGTGTTCTTTGTTTTTTTTCTTCTGGCTAAAAACGTACTGCAAGGCACTTGACTTCCAGCACATGTCCACAATTCTCCCGACGCCCCTTCCCAAATCACAGTGATTCCTCGTTCCCTGATCCTTTGGAAAAACAACCAGAACCCAAAGCATCAGAGATGCGTTTGGGAAACATGCATATGCATTCACTTGATGCGCTGGCGAAACGTTTTTCCTTGAAGCAAAGTCGAAAATCTCCAATCCTCAAACCTTTAGCGTTTCGTTGTGTTCAAGCGGTTCAAGCGCTCCAAAACACAACACTCTTGGCTTGAAGTCAGCAAAACGAAAGGTCCCAGTGGCCTTGACCCCGAGCCGTGCCGCTCAAGCACTGGAGACGTTGCGCCAGGCAGGGTTTTTCATAGGGGCGTTTTCCTTTGGAAGGTGCCTCTCTCTTCCCAAGCATTCTCATAAATTCTGATAGAGAACTTCAAGAAAGGAAAGGTAAAGAAAAGATCAAGAAATAAAGTCCAAAAAAAAGAAACATGAAAAAGAAGTTTGGGAGAAGTTTTGGGACTAGGAGGAAGGCGAAGGTACCGAGATTAGCAACTCTCGTAACTAAAGTATCTACAAGCAAGCTCTCCCAGCTAAAACAAATTGATCCCAAATGGGAGACGTTGGGAACAGTTCCCTTTTGGCGACACTTACTTATTTTGGCTCTACGGAGCACAGACCAACATCAAGAAGCATTTGAACTTGCCCTTAGGCAAGGAAAAAGAATTTGAGGAACCTTTCGCATGGTTGATGTTCTGGGACACTGTCCGCCAAACTTCCAACGACCCTCCATCAACTGAAAATCAGTTGAATCGCCTTTGCAAAGTTTTCACCTCGGACGGATCGAGCTCGTATATGCTCTTGTGGCGCCAGGATTTGGCACAACAACGACCCGAGCTAACGCCCAAAGAGCTGTGGCCCAAGAGCTTCCAGGGTCTCAAAGATGGTTCGAAGCAAAGAGATGCCAGGAGTTGCGACCGCTTTAGTCGCAGGGCTCAAGAGCAGAGTTGTTCTTCGGAAAAAAGAAATGGTGGAAGACCTTTCGTTGAGGAAAGAAGAATTGTGTTTTTTGTTGATGTTCTTTCTCATTTGCCCGCTCTCTGGTTCTTTGTGTGTTTTTTTAATGTTTCCTTCTTTATGGGCCTTTCTTTGAGGCTCAAGAGCTTAGCCGCCCAACAGTGGAAAGCCTTGAGCCTTCAGGCCTTCCCAACATTGAAACACGGCACCCGAATGAAGTTCTGGTTCATTGATTGAGTCGTGTTTCTTTCCTTGTTTTCTTTACATGAGGTCTTTTCGTTCTTTCTTGAGCTCATTTTTGTTTTGTTCTAGTGATGTGTACATATTGGCCTTGAAGCAGGGTATTCACAGAATAAAGCGTGGGTTGTAGCCTGTAGCTGGAAATCTGAAGCAAACAGACTATCAATTGTGAACTTAGGTGAAAAGAAAGAGAGCAAAACCGCCCAAAGACTTCGACTCTTCAACCAAAGCCATTCACCGAAAATCAATCTGAGAGATGACGTCCCTCTCCATCAATTTTTCAAATGACGCCTTTCCTCGATTTTAAGTCAGTTACTCATTTACGAAATCCATGTGTTGTGAAGCAAATAGTCAAGAACTCCAATGACTTACCCCACCCAAAGCACAGCTTAGCAAAGTCGCACAGTTTACTTGGGCAAATAGGTTGCATTTCGTCGAACAGCAAAACCTGCCAGGCCCGCTCTGAACTCATACAGCAAGTGGTCCTATAGGCTGGTAGTCTCAAAGACCTCGCTTTTTGCAGTTGTCACAACTCTGAGAGTACCATGTTGACCAGTACAGTGGTGTACTGGCCTGGAGCAGTCTTCGAGCCGTTTCGTGCAGTGCATGTTGCCGATGTTGTAGTGTCGGGTCGTCCCGCTCTCAGGTGATCACCATGTATGTGTAAGCGCGGTCCGAAAAAAAGGGCTAAGGGCGCTGGGTGGAAAGTTCCAAGCAAACTGTGTATGAAGCTGTCCAGCAGGTGTCGCTTGTCACTTCATTCTCGTTTGATGATTTTTGATTAGAGTAGACACCTGACCTAGACAGTCCATTGGGCATGTTTGACTAATGAGACATGGATTGAATGTGGCACTTTGACCAATTTGCATGTCCACGTAGGAGAGAAGGCTAAGCAGCTTTGCTCTCGCCACTCCCGCCCTCATCCTCTCAGTTCGTTGGCGAAGCCAGGTAAGAGCCTTCGTTCCTTGAGAAGTCATGGCCTCAGACGAGTGGGACTCGTGTGACACCAGTTTGGACTGTACAACGTTAACCCTTTAAGATGACCAGAGTGCAGGAGAGAAGGGGAGAGAGAGAGAGAGGGATATAGAGCATAATGCTTTCCAGTAGACTGTTGCAGGCAACGAGTGACAGAGCCAAGCAAGCCAAGCTCCTTGCTTTGTGTCAGGTTCTGTCTCGGCGGCCTTCGAGGACGGATGCCGGCATTGAGAGCATGAGTTAACGCATGTCAACAAAGGCCGTAGAGGCTCTAATTGGAGGTCCCAGTATATAGAGTCTGATGTCGTAGCCTTAGCCGCTAGCAAAAGAAGAGCAAGGTCAAGAGATGACTTGCTTTGCCTAGCTCTAACTAAGTCACGAACAGAGATGGCTATGTAGTTCTCCGGGTATCGATCACGCTAGTCATGGCACGGCATAGCTTCTTGCTCCTAGTAGCGATGCCCCTTGTTCCTAGTAGCTTCTTGTTACTACTAGTAAGGCACCTGTTACTACTAGCGTGGCACTTGTTACTACTAGCTTCTTGTTACTATAGCAAGCATAGCTTGGCACTGGCAGCGGATGTCGTCGGTTTTAGGAGATCGACGAGGAGGATTTCGCCGGTGGAGGTCTAGGCGCGTTACTGGATCTAAGTACAGATTGGCCATCTGAAAATGACTTTTCTCAAAACAAATATACTTGGTGTGTGTGTGTGTGTTAGACATAGCTAAGACAGCTAACGGTTATATAGTTTCAGTTTGGGATGTGTTTGTTGAGTTACCACTGCCTTTTTCTTTCTTGTCATGAGAAACGCAACGGGAACCACTGTGAAAAGCACATGACTCCATCCACGGCCGTTTTGGGTTGACTCCAGGTCAGCTTCATGACCTGGCGATCCGCTCACAGCTTCACACGCCAAAAGCCAAGGTGCCCCAGATGGTTCGAAAGACCTTTCTTCCTTTTCTTTTTTATTTGTTTCTAGTAGCGATGGTGTAGGGGAGCACTTGGAAACTGGATGAAACAACTGGAGCAATCTTCAAAGATGTGCTATTGAGTTGCCGCTCCGGTTCGGAAAGAATCCAGAAAGACTCGCGCCCCACTCGAGGTGCTGTCTGTGGTAGCCTGGGTCCGGCGTCAATGTCGCCTGCTCTCAGATCTAGACAGGCACTATGCAAACATGTGAACCGGAAACGACAGAAAGAGTGCCACGCTAGTAGTAACAGGTGCCACGCTAGTAGTAGCAAGTGCCACGCTAGTAGATTCTGATCCATAGGTTAATTCGAGGTTCACGCAGCAATACTGTCATATAGTCAGCAAGGAACATCGAAACCATAGTTATTTGCTATGCAGTGGCAGGGTGGAGATGGTGATTCAAATGCTCCGCCGGGAGCAGCTGCTCTCGGTGGTGCGGAATGCCATCGTGCATGAGCCAGGAGGCCCAGCGGATTGCTTTGGCGAGTAGCACCCTAGTCGCCGTAGTCTTACTAGTAGCGATGCACTTGTTCCTACTAGCTTCTTGTTACTACTAGTAAGGCACTTGTTACTACTATATTCCAGAAGTTGTGATGGTCTCGGTTTACAAAGAAAGGACAGAACGGGGAAGAAAGGTTCAAGTCACCAGGGTGTTCCAAGAGCGAGAGTCGAGAGATGACCTTGGCCACTTCCGGAAGCGAGAAGTAGCAAGAAGTAAGACCAAGCACCCAAGCATAGCCCTGTTGGGGTATTTGCTTGCTTGGCCAAGCTGTCCTAAGGAGCAAGGCCCGTGGAATCTTTGCAAAGATTGGTTTCGATCACTTCTTGACACAGGCGAGGATGCGATTATTCCAAATGAACTGCTGGCCATGATCAGTGTATTCGTTTGTTAGTGTTAGTTGGTCACGATTGGAAAAGAAGTTGCGTTGTTTTTTGGCCAAAGAGGACACTCCGGAGCCATCACTTTTCGGGCAGAAGAAGTGCTTTCGATCTTAGTGTCAAATTGGGAAACAGTAGAAAAAGCTAGGTGACGGGTAGGTGACTAGTAGGTGTATGATTGTGGTATCTTGAAGGGCATCGCTCCTAGTAGCGTCCTTGTTCCTAGTAACGATGCCAGGAGCCCCTAGTAGCGATGCCCTTTGCTCCTAGTAGCGTTCTTGTTTCAGTGCATAAAGGTCTTAGCTCCTAGACCCAGATCGACCCAATGACGTCCACATCCGGCTTCTGGGCCGGGTTTTGATTGAAGGCCCGCTTCGTCCTTCAAGTGGAGCGAGAACGCAGCTGCATCACCAGCATGGTCGAGAACTGGGGTATGATGCAACGCCACTGGGCTTTGACCTGACGACTTGGGTAACTGGAAAGTTTGCTTTACAGAAGAATGGAAAGACAGACTGAAAAAGGTCTCAGAATGCAAAGGTCTGAAGAAACAGAAGTAAGACAAGAAAAGAAAGACGGATGCAAACAATCAATCAATCAATCAATCAAACGAATCATTGTACGCACACATCGTTATAGAAAGTGGGCAGTGCTACTCCTTCGCTGTCGAGGCATGCTCAACTTCAAGGAAACCAGTGATTGCACACATCTCAATGAGAGGGTGGAAAAGGCAGGTATTGTGGGGAAGTTCAGCAGAGGTGTTTCTGCTAGATTATGCAAAAGAGCCTTTGTTTGTGAGTGTTCACATTTCACAGTAGCTTTTGTTGCATTTAAAAGTCCAATTTGGTTTGTGCTGTCCACTCCAGGTCTCAAGCTTCTGGGGTGAGCGGAAAAACAACTCACCGAAGCGCCAGAGACCAGAGGGCGAGGAGCCGCACAGAGCCGAGCTGAGCTAAAACGCGCTGGAGCTGTGGGTGAGGGCACATGTACTGCCATCCCCAATGTGTTCTTCCTTTCTATAGACCTTTGTTCCTAGTAGCGTCCTTGCTCCTAGTAGCGATGCCAGGAGCCCCTAGTAGCGTCTTTGTTCCTGTGACATTGTGTTCTTTAGTTCTTCCTGTCTTTTGTCCTTGTCATTTTTGGTTGAAGAAGACGAAGCAATGGCCCTGTGCCGCAGGACAACGGCGAAGTCTCCCGGCCTTCCACCGCAGAACCGGGTTTCTTGCAGCTTGGCTTGGAATTCAAGCAGGATTTTTAAGAAAATTGTGTTGTGAAAAAAGGGGAAAAACTGTCCAAGAATGCAGGGCACGTTTGGAGTTGTTTGAGGCATAGGCGGCATAGGTATCAAAAAAAAACAAAAAGGAGCATCAAAAAAAGTAAAAACAGGATCAAAAAAAATAGAAAGCGAATCAAAAAAAATATTCCTTGATAGGCCTCTTCTGCTGCTCTCCTGGCCTTGTGGTCTGCGGGTCCTCTGGTAATGTGGTCCCTTGGTCCTTTAGTCCCTTGGTCCACTGGTCCTTGGTCCCTTGGTCCTTTAGTCCACTGGTCCCCTAGTCCTCCGGTCTCCTGGTCCTGTGGTCCGCTGGTCCCCTGGTATCCTAGTCCTTCTGTCTCCTGGTCCGTCTTTTGCTCTCCTACGGCGCTCGTCTGTCGATCTCCTGGTCCCCTGCTTGCGCAAAATAGAGGCTTGATTGCTTTCTACTAGAGGCAGCTCCCTGGGAAGAAAGTAGGTACCCAACGATAAGGTAGCCGTCCAGTCATTGAGTAGCCCTACTCGAAAAATGGTTCACCAGTGGAAATAGCTCCCTACTAGGAGGGAGCTCCTGGGGAGGTACACTCTCCTAGTCCCCTACTTCTTCCATCCTCTTCCCTTCGTCTCCTATTGGTCCACTGAGAGACAACTGTCTTACAGAAATTGTAGTCTAGCATCGTGAGGTAATTGTTTTGATCCTGTTCTTTTCTGTTGACTTCGTCTGCTAATGTGTTGTTGGCGCAGACACGCCAATCATAGCATGTCCATGGTTTTGAGGGCATTGTTTGTTTTGATCATTTGTTTATCCCCTGCTGCTGCTACTGCTACTGCTACGCTGGTGCTGCTGCGGCTAGAATATTATTTTTTGATTACCTTTTTCTTTTTTATTGATCCCCGTTGAGTAATTTGTTTTTGATTATTTTTATTTTCTATTTTGATCCCTTACCCGTTGTTTGATGTGTTTTTTACAAAATTGTCATTGTTTCTATACTTTGTCTCTCATTGCCCTCATGGCATTTGAGGCCACCCTTTACACCAACCCGAAGTCGCGCGGGCACTCCCAGCACGCTGCGGCGCCGAGTGCTGAAAGACAGGCCTGCCGGCCGCCTGTCGGCCCGTCCTACGTCGAAATGTAGGACGGAAGACCATTTTTGACAGGAAGTTTCTTTCATGACTCGGAGCGGTAGAGGAACAAGAAGCTACTGGGGGCTCCTGGCTTATTACTAAAAGCAAGGACGCTACTAGGAGCTTTTTCGCGAGCACGCGCGCGGGATGCTAGTAGGGGCTCATTTTAAGATGTCTTTCCAGTTTCTTGCTTTACTCCGGACGAGAAAGCTCTGTTTCCATGGCATGACGTGTGCGCTGGCTTCAGGGTCACTGCGCTGATGTTGGACGTCACCACGGAACAGCTCAAGGAGCAGAAGCCCATGCCGGTGCAGCACCGGAAGTTGGAGATGAAACAAATGAATTCCATTTAGACTTAATTATAGTTCTTGTTACTAGTAGCCAGTAGCTTCTTGCTACTACTAGTAAGGCACTTGTTACGAGAAGCGATACAAGAAAGTTGATAGTTGATCCGTGGTTCCGAGTCAAGGTGCAATACAAAAAGGTGGCCTCCTGGACCAAGGAGGCAAAACCCTCGAGACTTGGACGGAACCAGCTCGACGGGGATGAAGGTGTTTAAGCAAGGAGCTCCTAGTAGCGTCCTTTGCTCCTACTAGTAAGGCACTTGTTTCTAATAGCTTCTTGTTACTACTAGTAAGGCACTTGTTACTAGTAGCGATGCACTTGTTCCTAGTAGCTTCCTTGCTCCTAGCAGTACGGCCAGGAGCCCCTAGTAGCGTCCTTTGCTCCTAGTAGCGACGCCCAGTCTCCAGTTGACTCGGTTTTGGCATCGATTGAGAGACTGTTTCCAAAATTTAATGTTCTGCGCTTGTATTGACAACTAAGTTGAAGCAGATTGAGCTGCCAATGTTGAGGTTTCAAGTAGGACAATTCGATCATTATTGCTCCATTGCCAAGGAGCCCGGTCAAGCCTCAGTCATTGACATCTTCGCTTGGCAAGTCACAGTCTTTGACCACTTTGAACCTGCCGCGCTGCCGCGTTATGCAGTTCCTTGCCAAGCTGTTCCATGAGCCCACTATACAGTATATCCTGCAAGCCTAAACTACCGTTACCATACTTAGCCGTACTTTTAACAAGAATGCTCTTTAAAGAAAGAGCATGTTGAACATTCCTACTGTATTTGTTCTTCTTTGCTTTAATCTCAAGCCTGTTGTTTACCGGGTCAACTGATGTCTTCCTTTAGGGAACAAACAAATGTCTATCGCCTCGCGCAGTCGGAGTTCGCCAGGCCGGAAACCAGTTGGCGTGCAGAGGCGCCTCTGCGCTGGTCACGCAGCCAGGACGGGTCCGACCGGGTCGGAGGGAAGGGCGCCAGGGAAGCTTTTAAGAGGCGTAGTAACAAGAAGCTACTAGTAACAAGTGCCACGCTAGTAGTAACAGGTGCCACGCTAGTAGTAACAAGGTTCGCTACTAGTAACAAGAAGCTACTAGTAACAGGTGCCTTACTAGTAGTAACAAGAAGCTACTAGTAACAGGTGCCTTACTAGTAGTAACAAGAAGCTATTAGTTGAGATCAGCTTCCAATGAGAACAGTTGACCGAAGTGCTGGAGTGCCCCGGGTTGCAAAACTTATCTTGAACTGAATCATTCTCTCCACCTGCAAGGAAAAGAGCTTGCTTCGCAGTGCTTCCTCCAAGTATTGGGGCTCCAACCAGGCCAGAGCAGCTTGGATGTCCTAGGCTTGGGCGTCCATATTTGGTCCGGCTGGATAGAGCCTTGCAACGGGGTAATTAATCATCAAGCTCTAACAGGTTGCGATCCGCTGAGTTCGTTCAAGCCTTGATTGGCGAAGTGCCTCATATGTCGGCTTGATCAAAGTGCTAAGTTCTGGGTCAGCTAGGTACCATTTTCAGGCAACGCCATGACTACCTGCTACAAACAAGAATGCTAGGAGGACAGGTCCAAAGAGAAGGAAGAAAACGAAAGGAATGAGAGCCTTGGATCTCTACGTTCAGCGACCTTCTCCACGTTCAGCACCAACAGGAAAATGTTGTTCAAAACTGCTTGCGGCCAGGCGTGGCAAGAACCACCCGAGGGTGCACCTCCCAGTCGCTTGGTCTTGACAAGAAAGGTTTTACCAAATTCTTACAAGAGAGGAAGAAAGAAAGGTTTACAGGTCGGAACATGCAAAGAACAAAGAAAGAAAATTTGCAAAGAAAGAAAAAGACTTTGGTGATGTTCATCCGTTGACCTTTTGGAAGACTACTACCTTAATTAGGAGACGATAGGAGACGTGCCGTTCAAGCCCAAGGAAAAGCACCGAGCTTGGAGGATCGCTACTTGAGCACCTGCACCTTGGCAAAGCCATGCAAGTCAGCCAATAGTCTCTTGGGCAGTGCGATGAGTGATGCGGTGATAAAGTCCCTGGAAACCTACGAAAGTACTTTAAGTCCTCCAATGTTTACCTTCAAGTGGAAGATGCTACACGATAGCAATAGATGACACAGGTTGGGATCCTGGTTGGGTCCAGTGGGCCTAGCTAGAGAGTGATGTGGACCTATTCCGAGCCAAGTGTGAAAATTTGGTTCAGCACAGTCCCTACTGAGGCCGAACACGCCGTGCCGTGCCTGTTCCCTTGTCCTTTGTGGAGGGTCAGCCACTGGACAGCATGAGATCGCTTTGTGCAAAGGAAGAAAGGAAGGTCTACAGGTTTACTTTAGAAAGAAAAAATACACAACATAGAAAAGAAAATCCAAAACAAGAAAGCATTGACAGAAGGTCCTGGTTTTGGATGTTCCACTCGTTTGCTTGAGGTCAGCCAAGCTAGATGGCCGTGACATGCTGGAGGAGAGTCAATGGAGTCACCAAAGCTTCAGTTCTTCGTGTTTGCAATTTGCTTGTGGTTTCTTGAAGTTTTGTTCTTTTAGCCCGTTGCCGTGACCCTTACTTAATTAGCGACGACTCAATTAAGTAAGGGCAATGGACGCATGATAGCTCACGTTTCTTCCTTTGGTTCCTAGATGTGTTTCTGTTTAAAAAGAATAACTCACTTTTGGAAGAGGTTGAAGAGACATTTGAGTGGGTCTTGGCTTCGACTGCGTCCAGCTGGTGCCTTGCGTTGCCAGGAACAGATGAAGGCTTTGGTGCAGATCTTGGAGGGTAAAGTGGAAGAAGTGAACATGGCACCTCGGTGCCACGGTTTGGAGGTGACCGGTAGTATTCCAAATAGTACGGCCAGGAGCCCCATTCGTAGCGTCCTTGCTCCTAGTAGCGATGCCAGAAGCCCCTAATAGCGTCCTTTGCTCCAGTAGTATGCCAAATAGGCAGTTTCGTTTGTAGTCCGACCGGTTTTGTCCACAGGATCCACATTTAGTCCTATCAATTTGGTTTCGCTGTGAATCGGCATGTCTCCAGATTTGGATCGCTGTCCTAAGGAGAACAATCGACTCGCAACTTGCTTCACAATCAACAAACTGTTTGCATTTGTTTGCAACGTCCAATGGATCAAAGATGCGGTTTTGACAATTTGATCCTTTCAAGCCTTTGGTTTATCTTGCGTCTTCTCACAGAAGGAAATACATACTTCCTGGATTGCCAGGGCGAGAAATGCGAAATTACGCCCTCGCAAGGTCACGGATCAAACACTGGCGCCGCTCTTTCAAAAGCTTCATGCACCGCACATGAGAGACGCTCGTTTCTATTGGATCCAGATTGTGTTTTTGCGTGTTTTTAAGTAAGCTAAGAAGTAGCAGGCAGCTAAGACGCGCAAAAAACACAGAAAAGCTTGTCCTCTTTGCAGGTGTCAGTGTTTATGGAAATTAAGCTTCAGGTTGATTGCGATGTGGCAATTGTAGACACTCAAGGTGACAAACCCAGGCGCAAAGATACAAACGTATATACAAGTACTCAATTTCCAGACTTTGTTGCAAGTCTTGCCCCGGCACGGCCCAACATTGCTCCTTTTTGAAGTCAGGACTCCCTGCGGACCATCAATCTGAGACACTGTCGCGCGGGTTTGAACACCCTGGAGATGTGCGTAGAGCTCCTTTGCTAAATTGAATTCTATTTAAACTTAATTACTAATTCTTGTTTCTACTAGTTTCTTGTTACTAGTAGTAAGGCACTTGTTCCTAGTAGCGAGGCACTTGTTTCTACTGGCTCCTCGCCAAATCCGGCTGTCGAGTCGATTTGCTCTCGCTTTCGATGTTTTTCCCTAGTAGCGTCCTTTGCTCCTAGTAGCGATGCCAGGAGCCCCTAATAGCGTCCTTTGCTCCTCAGACTTGGGAGAGAATAGAGCCACCAAAGTGCACTTCGAAACACCAGTTGATCCAGCCTTTGCTCGTGCGAATGGTTTTTGAGGTCCATCTCGACTGTTCTAAATATAGAGACTGCTCCAGAGAAAGGAAAAAGGACAAAGCACCTTTGGATTCATGTTGGGTACTGGATACTTGTCCTTGAACCTTTATCAAATTGTTGTTTGTGTGTGTGTTCTTAATGGCGCTTTAGACCCTTTCTGTTTTCCTTTGCTTTCCTCGTGTTTGCTTTAAATCTTGGCTATCTCCATGTTCTGCTTTGTTGAAGCCGAAACCGAGGCTTCTGCCAGTGGCCATGAACTTGAGACACGTGGACACTGGGCTCACCTGAAAAAAGTTTCAGGTCAACATCAGCAAAAAGGATCCAACAACAGTTTGACACCCAGAACTCTTTTACTTCCAGGAGGCTTTCAACCAGTCAATTGAAATGGTTTGGATTGCCCTACTCAAACTTGGAGCTGAGTTTATTGCTGGTGTAAACATATCATAAAAAATCCAAAAGCTTTGCCAAGATTCCCTGGCGCAAACGATCGTGAAAAAGTGCGAATCTTAAGGACCTGAGCGGATTGCCCATGGCCGTGAAGTTACAGCTTCCCCTTTGCATGGGCCTGAAACTCAGAAAGGGCGGTGGAAGAGAAGAGGTTGTTTGTGCTAAAAACGGCACCTTTCAGCATGAAAAGACGGAGTCGTACGTATCGCATCTTTCAACTTAGTGGGTGGTGCCATACGCATTCGAAGGGCCTAGTAGTTAAGGTGTTAAGCCCACGACGCATCTAGTTGATTTGAGTCTAACATCACCGCTCAGGCCTGGGAAGTCATCAGAACCTTGAGTCTGTGGCACTCGCTGGTGTTGGCTTGGGAGGCCGAAAAATTGCCTGAAGAGAAACATGTTTAGTTTGGGTAACCTGAGTGTATCGGTCTGTGGCACATCTATAAAAACAATCCGCCTTCGTTACGTTTGACCAACTTGTAAATGGATCAACACGATCAATGGGACAACAAATTGCTGATTGCTCGCACGCATGGTCAGGCACCTTTTGCACTGCCGAATGCGCACGTCACTGGGCAAAAAAGAATCTGAGGGTAAACTTACACTGCAAGCTGGACAAGAAAGCTAAACTTCAGTCATGCTTTTTCCTCAGCAAAAGAACTCCGTGGGTCCAGAAAGAAAGGTGAAAAGGTCTACCCAAAAACCAGAGACACAATAAAGAAACACATAATATGAAAGCATATGAAAGCACTCAAAAAGAAGACACTTGTTTGTGTGTGTGATTTCGAGGTCGGCTGGTGGGTTCCATGAGCTTTAGCTCCTTAGACTTGAGTTGGAACTGCTTCGATGCGGAAGACTTTCAGCAGATGGGGAAGCAGCTCATGCAGACCAAGCCCGGGCCGCTCGGCGAAGTGAGTACAGCTACGGACTGAATTGTGTTTTGTTGAAACAACAAGGAGCAAAAGAAATCTAATAGGAATGGCCTCCAACCTAAGAGCGATGGCCTTTAATATAGTAGGAAAAAGAATGTAACAACAAACAAGGAGGCTGATCTTTCAGATTTTTCGACCTTTTCTTTTCCCTTCTTTTCAGCTGAAGCAACCACAGGAGCGCGTGGCTGAAATCCATCACACTAGCAGAATCCCGTCACAGGTCCTGAGCGAAAAAGCTCCTAGTATCGTCCTTGCTCCCAGTAGTAGGGCCAGGAGCCCCTAGTAGCGTCCCTGCTCCTAGTAGTAGGGCCAGGAGCCCCTAGTAGCGTCCTTGCTCCAAGAAGCGATGCCCTTTGCTCCTAGC